TCAGGCCCTAGGGCAAATCACTTCGTGATGATGGTAAGTGAGCTGAAAGCCAATCTCAGTCAGCAATAAAATAACAGGATAGGATTAAGAAAGAAGTAAGTGGTGATATATCAAAAATATGGAGTATTTTTGACAAAAGATGTGATGAGGAAGCCAGAGGCTAGAGAAAAAGAAGTAATGAAGATGAAAAACTGGAAAACCATAAGATGGACAAAGAAAGATGAAGGAGTCTAAAAGGGTTCAGTCAAGGAGAGCAAAAATAAGGAAATAACTCCAGAAAAAAGGAATAGGAAGTTATCTATAACAGGAAGACAGACATCATTAGAAATTAAGAGAATGGTTGAGGTAATTCTGTTAAGAAGGAGCACAGTGGTAGAAGAGGAAGGCAAAACACTGAAGAGGAAAGAAACAGAATTTTAGGAAACAGATTAATAAAAGAAGAGTTATGCATCTCTCAAACATAGAACCATCCCTCAATACTAATGTTGCCTATCCCTGCTCATCTAAGAAAAAGATAAAGTAAATCAATTTAAAAATAGGGTATTTATTTATTTACTTAAGGGGGTGGTATGTGTGTATATGTGTATTTTGCTTTAAGTTGCACTTCAAAGGCAGGAATAGTTTCATTTTAGGGCATCCTCAAGACTTTTGAGATGCACCATTCAGCAGTACTGTAGAAGGGTAATCCCACTGGCTGTTTTCAAGGGCATGTGATAGTGGAAGTTTCAACAAAACAGAGTCATGTGAAGTCATTGCTATTTTGACTTTGTTCTTTTGCTAACAGACTTTCCTAGGGCAGTATGTAATGTCTTTTTAACTACTCACCACCCTTGTTTCACTAACCTATCTATCTCAGAAAGACTATTAATGTTTATTTTGTGCTGTGAAAAGTCACTTCATAATCTCAATTCTTCTTCTTTATATACTAATCATCTTCTGCTTTGTTGAAAATAGTATCGATGCAAGTGAAGAGCTAATATAAATTAGTATTTGACATTTATCTTTTCATCGCAAATAATAATTTTCTTATTCTACTTCATGCTCATAATCCATCTTTCCATTTATCTGGGCTCTGTCCTCTCTCACTTTATACTTCAGTAATCTCATCTGAAGGAATTAAAACAAGATCTGACCTTATGTATAATCTCCCACAGGTGTATTTGCATTGTACGAGGAAAGATTTAACTGTCTGGCGGCTGCTGCTGTCACTACCGTCTTTATATCATGGTGATAACTTCCTAAAGATCACATTCAGAACATATTCTACCTGGACTTACCCAAAAAAATTACAGACACATTCTATCTGGAAACAGTTTTAATCTGCATGCATCTAAAGCTCCTCTGAGGCTGGTGCATAATAACCTTAACTACTAACTGGGTTATATTTGTAGAATTTCAGACAATGCACAACACTAAACTGGAATGGCACCATTTGAACATTTCAGGAGCAGGTGCAGGTTATAGGCAAATATAATTAAATTTTGAAGAAGAAGAAGGTGAAAATCCTGCCTGGAGGAAAGGTCCTAGAAGTAGGAAAAGACCCTGCAGATCAGGGAGCACATGGAGACAAATGGGAGATGCTGAAGGACCTTGGCCAACAATATCAAATGCTGACAACTGTGAGCAGCTGCAAAGCACAAACTGACACAACTTCACTGATTGGCAGTGATGTCCATGCTAGAAAAGGGAAGTGAAGCCCTAGGGAAAATAATGCTGAGGTGGGAGTGAGCAAGTGAGATAATAAAGCCGAACAAAAGCTCTAAACTTAATGGTTCTTAAAATCCGGATTTGCTACTGGCTGTGTTTTACTCTGTCTTCCTTGTGACAGTGAATAAGAGGAATAACGTATTTCATATCTTATCATATTTTATCATATTTTATCCTTCTTTAAAAACACAATTTCTTGCTAAGGATTCTTGGAATTTTAGTAAACTTCCCATGTAGTACTAATTTGTAATATACCATAAATTATGCCTCCTGAACATCAAAATGAACAAAATAGTCTAAATTATACCTCATAGTACAATTTATGATCCTTTAAAGAGGGCAAAAACAACTAGTAAAAAATAAGTTTATTACAGATTTAAGTGCAGTTCCATCCCCTTGTACTGTTCCCTTTACTTAACATTATAAGCTGGTACACAAAACGAAGTTCAGAAATTCCATTCATTAAAAGTAGTGGGTTTTGTATTTTTTACAAAAGAGATTCAACTGTCAGTAAATTATATGTTATGTGCAAAATCACCCACTTTGTCTGTCTCCACCTCCTTATACTTTTTCTAAAAGACACTGTAGACTGTGACTTGCAGATAACAAACGAGAATTCCTGTGGAGATTACAATAGAATAGCAAAACAGAGTAACTCATGTATATGTTCCTGAAAAGCTCTTGAAAACAGACTATACTGAATAAGTGTTCTAACCAAGATAAAATTTCAGTGAGAAGATCTCAGATGCATGTGAAGCAGAAAAAAAAGGAGAGTCAACCTTATCCTATTAAATGAAAATCCTATAATAAATCTACAAAGGTCATGAGGGACCCAAAAAGTGCAGATTTGAGATAGCTGGAAAACTCTGTTAATGGTGGAAGTATACAGCAGGTTGGTGTATGTAAACAGAGTACATAGAAATATATCTACCCTTCTAATAAATGCAAAAAATTATGGCTTCAAGGTGAAGAAAAGAAACAAATTTTCTACCATAAAGGAGGTTGCTAGGATATCCTTCTGAGAACATATGTATTATAAGATAATGGTTTTGGATTAACTGCTGAGTCATGTTCTGATATTTATATATCTGGCTATTTAAACTGGTGATTTTTGTACACAATCTCTTATTCCAAGAAAAGACAGAAGGACATAATTCTTTATCCATATAGCTGCAACATGGGATACAAAACAGGTCACGGTTTCTGAATTCTTAGTCACAGCCCTATTATGACCATACAGCTCAGAGTGAGGGGGTAAAAAAAATCTCTGGAGTCTCTCCAACTTCTAAAAGAAGAAAATGTTTCTTATGCCTAAGGAAAAATGTCACTTGGATTAGATCGGGGGAAAAGGAGAAGAAACTTCCTTCCACCACTGCCATTCTAGACCACTGCCACAATTAGGAAACTTCTCATATTTTAGTTATCTGTGCAGCTTTCACTGTAGACAGGATCTAATATCTGCAGAACATTTTAAGAAAAATCTACTTTTGATTTGTTGAACAAGAACTGAGTTGGAAAAAGGGAGACTGGAACACGTTTTGTTGTAGTTACAAGTTAGGGAAAAGCACCTGCGATTCCATAATCTCTTCCCCAATTAAGCATGTTTCTGCCCGTCAACATTTCTTAGGTTCTGGTGCAGTGCTGTGTAATTGCATTTCTATCTCTCAGACTCCCTTTTCTCTTGTTTCAGTTCTACTGCAGGACTCTGTCATCCCTATCTTAGTTTTCACACACTATCTTACATAATCTCATCAGAATTTCATTGGTGACATGAATGTCTCTCTAGAATACACGTGAGTCTCACAGATCCTTTGGCAGAAAAGGTCATAAGGTCATTCTGAAGCAGTATTTCAAGCCCCAAATGAAAAAAAATTGTTATGCTACTGGAGGGGAAAAAAAAAACAACAAAAGAAAGTCAACACACACATTTAAGGAGGAAACACAGAGATGTAGAAAAAGAAATTGAGGGAAGATAGATTGAGACTGATACAAAATATTGATTTTAAAAGTTAAATATTTTAAAGCCTTATCTGTCTGAACAGTAGCGCACAGAAGTACAGATATGGCCCTTGATATCCTGGCAGGAATGCGCAAGACTATAGCCTTAGTCTACCTTCTCTTCCAAAAGTTTTTAGTAGGTTTAATGTTAATGAAACCAGTAGTTACTCCCCTCCAGCCATTATATGTTTCCAAACTAAAAGGCAAAGCTGAGTGAGAACATCATGCAGTCTTTGAGGCTGGTTTAGGCAGCTTATATGAGGGTAAATACATTAGATTTGTTAATACACACCGCCCTTTTACAGTACCTCATTGCAATGAACTTGGTATGGTTTATGAATATTCATTATCACAAATGTCATAATCTCAGCAAATCAAATAAGTAGTAGTTAATGAATATCTCCATTACACAGGTGGCAAAGAAAAAAATTGATAACCTGGTGAAGGCTTTACAGTGAGTTAGAGAGATCAAGAAACATAACTTGGCAGGCTGACTTTCTTCCCCTTGGCGCCAGGGAACCAGTAAACGGAGATTAAGAATTGCTCACCATTCAAATGAAAAAATGCCATACAGGACTTATTACATTCCTAGTGTTCTGCTGATATTCTATGTTTGTGGGTAATGGGGAAGCTTTCAAAACTTTAGAAACTTCCTGTGTTAGTTTTAATTTCATGGTAATCGCGAGAGTGTAAGTGTGGCAGTACTTGTAAACTGATAATTTACCTTTAGGTTCTCTAATGTCTTGTTGGAAATACTTCTGAGTCTTCTTTAAAATGTCCCATTTTCACTGGGCTATTAACTCAGAAGGCTACTTTGGAAAATCCTTCTACATATTATTTTACTTTTAGGATTTCTTGCAACATGTGGATGAATATGGCAAAATAACTTATAGTAAGACATTCAGGAAAGTATAAGCATGACAAGCCAGCTCTAAGAGAGAGTCAGTAAACTTCCTTTTTAGTGACAGACAGAACAATCAGGAATAAAGTAACTAGCCCAGAAAATGCCTGTCTGCTAAGAAAGCCTTTCAATTCCTATATTCCTGTCTTTGAATTTGACTTAATTTTAGTTGCTACCTAATTTTAACTCGTTTAATAATAAATGATAATTCATAGAAAACATGCAATAATTAAATATAAACATTTAAGAAATATGAGGTTTTAATATTTAATATATTTTGGTTTTTAAAATATAAGGAAAAAGTATTTTCCTTCTCAGTCTTATTCCTAAATAAGGAAAAAAGTAATGTGATAAAAGTGGCAGATTTAGCACTTCTACTTAAACAAATACCCACTTGGTCCTGCTTTTGGGGACCAAGACAGCAAAGCTCTGGATTTTCTCCCTTTAGGAAGTAGGCTGGCCACAGTAAAGGTGTTTAAACAACTGCAGGGATAAACGCCTTCAGAATTGATGACACTAGGTAAGGAGTTTCTGTTCTCTGGCCATGTTAAGTGATCTTTCACTAGGACATGACCTCACAAACCTGGATAAATAGCCCAGAGACCAGGGACTGAGCAGGCTTTAACATGTCCTTCATCCTCCTCAGGACCAGATGTGATCTCCTCTCATCAAAACTGAGGCATACTGGCAAGGGCTGAAACTGTCAAGCCAATTAATACCCACCCAGGAGATAAACAGAGAGCTTCTGTATCCAAGCCTGGCAGCATAGCACCAAATTTATTTTTAAATACAAGATTAAAAATAATAAAAAATAAAATCTCTTCACTGGTATGTTTTGACAGTAAAATTCAGGATTCCCCACTGCTTACAGTCCAAGAAAAACTTAATTTCTTCTCTTTTCAAAATCTACACATGGGAAAATTCATATCTGTTGCTTCAGCTGACACACAGATGAAGTCAGATCTAATTAAAGAGGTTTCAGAAATAGCACAGACATAAATGTCATTCTAGAACTGATTATTCCTAATTGACAAATTATCCTGCCACCTCTGCAGAGTTGGCAACATATCTATTTCCTGTAATACTGCAACTTTAAATAAGGGGACCAGAAATCATCTTGCTTAGGGGTAGGATTGATAATTCTGCACATGGAAACTACAATAATAAATAAGAGAACAACTTCTTTTATGAATCACTTCCTTTCTCTAATTAAGACCAACTCTCCACTACCAATCATAACCATGTTGCAGGTGTGGGAAGTTACAAAACAGATTTGTTGGGCAGGAGTTATCTTTAGTGTGGCCTACTACACTATCTCTACACTATACTAGCTGGAGCCCCTCTCTGGGCTGCATCTAAGGATAACCACTTGTTAATTCTCAGTGATTAATTCTGGGTGTGAGCTTACATCACTATTTAGTGTGGAAAATATCTGGCTCTCTTCTCTCCTAGGGTTTAACCCAAAGCCTGGCCAGGGTTCAGAGGAAAATCAAGGAAGTCAGTTTGATCCATCTACTGTCAAACAAGGCCAGCCATCTACTTCCATTGCCTTGACTAGTCTCTAAACACAGAAAGATAGACACATTCATACCTCATTAATGAACAGATACTAATCTTCACTAATAAGTGAATATCAATACATCTTACTAATAAGCATACATGTTTACACAGGTGTAGTCTTATATTACGTGTTTTACTAAGGATTATACAGAATTCTGGCTAATAAGTAGATACATGGCTAAATATGACATCAGGTTGGAAGATTCATCTAGAGGTCAACTTTGGCTCAGAGCCTATTTTTCAGGCCTCAGCACTGCAACTGGTCAGTGTGGGATAGCACTATCAAACTCTTAGTACTAATCTGACAACAGTTTAGGTGTATGGATGGTAACAAGACAATGCCCAAAAAACTCATGTAGTAATGTAATTGTAGTCTCAAATAGGAAAGCATGGATCCTTCTGATCTGACCTAGGTGGGCATTGTCTGCTGGTTGGCCTGTACAAGACTTGTATCATTCATGGAACAGTCACAAAAACACTTGCCATTTTATTGGTTTGCTGTATTTTCTCTCTTGTCCCAACTCTGAGGGTCATAACTAGGCTGCAAAAGTGTAGAAGCAAAACTATTTGATAGGACAGGGAAAAGAAAAATAATTTCATTTTAAAATGGAAGGATTTTTTTCTACCCCCGTAGCAAGAGCCAAGGACTGTTTGACTGTAAAATTCATCACACTGTTATTGTATTAATGATGAAGAAATGACCATTATGTAACACCATTAATCCAATGGTCCCAAAGTAAAGGGCAAACAATTAGTAACGTGCCCTGGGGATATTTCCAGTGGAACACTGCAAAGAGCAGGACAAATCAATGAAAATTGCTTCTGGCTGTTAAGTCACAGCTGTTGAGCTTCATCCTCCATCCCTACTGTGCAGGCAAGAGCCAAAGCAACAAAAAGCTGAAGATGGGAATTGAAAAGTAGCCAAAAGCAGGACTTTCTGGGAAGTTCTGTCTTCTGCTGAGCCTAAGGAATGTTTTATTTTCCTGTATGGTATTCTTTAAGTAAAACCTCCTTTGTAGCTATGACAAGGCAGCTGGCTCCATGGTCATTAAGCCGAATCCTTTAATAGCATCCACAAAATTTAATGTTTGTTTAGCTAAGAGCTATCGGTGAGAACATGTTGTCTAGAAAGGGTTCTATTTCCCTACCCTTCACTACATGTGCAAACAAGCTACACTTGCCTAGTTATTGTTCCATCTGCCTGCTTCTTCTGCTTCTTACTGTAGCTTACAACCTTTGCATGTTTTCATGCCTTGGCTTTAAATTTGTCACTTATGCATCAAGTACTGGTAAGTAATTGGGCAGGGTAGTGCTTTTAAAGCTTTCTCGCAGAGGAACAACATCCAATACCAGGAAACCGAAGTGAGATAAATTCTTGAAATGAGATACAATTTTTTTTGACAATAAGGGTAATTAAAAGCTGAAGTAATTTATCAGAGGATGGGAATTTGTGACTGTATAGAATGTTAAAGTCAGATTCAATACTTTTCTAAAAACTGGTTTACTTCCCACTTTTGGAAAAGTTCTACAGCTTGTATACCTGAAAATCTGGCTGAAAAAATTGCACATGCCCTTCTGGCCTTAGAATCTATCTATTTATGTGGACTCCTGCATAGCTAAATGGGGAACCTTTACTTTTAAAATTATTGTCTTCCCAACAACATACTTCTATGTGCTTATTTATTGTCTCATTGTTGCCTAAGAAATAACATCTTAGTCACCAGTGTAATTTTTATTGTCATTATCTTTGAATGTAATAACATAGGTCTTGGAAGTTTTGAAATTTTAAAGTTCTACAGAACCTAATAGAAAGGAAAATATAGATTTGCTTTGGGGGTTTTGATGTGCTACTTTTCTTTGGCTTTTGAGATCCAGATTTTCAAGCATTTCTTTACAAGACTAGAAACATACTTTCAGAAAACATAGTCTAACATTCTTGCTGTAATTGTAGGATATTAGGAATTGTGAATTTATGACAAAAAAAATGCTACAGATCTCCAACAAAGCTTTTGATAGGTCACAGAATTTTTTTTTATTCTTCCCTTACTAATGTTATATAGACTTCATAGGATGATTTTAGTTCCAGTTATTGCATTGGGTTTTTTTCTTTAACTTTAATCAAGTTCACTTAAAACACATTGGCAGAAAGATAACTTCCAAATATTTTCAGTTCAATATTGTCAAACAATATTGTGGGACTTACTCTTTGTCTTTACTTTAGTTAACCCAGTTCAACCCACACATGTGGAGGACCAGGCATAAGCAAGTTTTGTCTCAAGCATTTTGGCTGTTGCAACAGGAAAGTTGTTATTGGAGGTGGAGCAGTGCTATTCTGAGCAAATTTCATTTTGTACCTTGAGACTCAGGCTTAGTATGCCTGCACCAACTTCTCCCCCAACCCCATCCCATGTGGGATCTAAGGACCAATAATTTCTTTCTTCTCGTTCTCCCTTTCCTGCTTTTATTTTTCCCTCTCCCTTGCTGTGTCTTGGTAAAGTGAGGCTATCCTATTCTACTCTATTCTGAACTGAAGTTTGTTGTGGGAGTTGAGAGCTTGTTGAAGTGTGTTGTAAAAGTTAAGGGCTTGTTAGCTGACAATTGAGAAGTTTGTTGATTGGGAGTTTGTTGAAGTGTGTTGTAAAAGTCAAGGGCCTCTTAGCCAACACTTTTGAGACTAAATAGTGGGTTAGTTGCCAGAGTTAAGATGATTATACAATAAAAGCATGAGTTCCTTGACAGGTGGACTGGTGTCTTTGTTCAGTTTGATGAGAATGAATGTTATAATGAACGTCGTGCCCTATATTGTGTGGGTTGTGACAACACAACGAAAACTTTTGACAGAAGACATTGAATTACATTTCTACAGTAAAATAAGTCTTCAGTGAGGCTGTCCATGTTTTCAGGAGTGGATATTTTGGTATCCTAGAATGTACAAGAAGGCAATAAGATGTTTGCCTTAGTCAAGTAAGGCAAATGTTTTTAAGAGAAATATATTTCTCACACTGTGCAAGAAAATCTTTCTATTTTAATGATATATTCCTGTGACAGAAGTATGGGGATAAGACCACAAACTGAAAATAAAAGGAGGATCACAGTGATGATTAAAATGTTTTAAATATTTCCCTACTATAGAGATTATAAGCCTTAAGAGGCTACACTTTTAGGCTGTCAAATTTCTCTCTTATCTGAAAGATATTTGCTGAATATACTTTGAAATCTCCTGCAGTTGGGAGTTGGTGCATCCTCTAAGAAACCTATTCTCAGAGATAAGAAGCCAAGTGCACGTCAGAGGTGATTAATGAGAAATGTACACTCTCTTCTACTGATGTAGGGGCCAGGTGGAGGACAGTGCAGCACAAGTGCACAGAAAAATTGTCATGGCATCTTTATGCATGGTGTCTTGACATGCTAGTACCACAGTAGTAGCAATGCCTGTCACTGCTAACACCCTCCAAGAAACTGCCATCATCATGCTAGTGTAGCCATTGGTCCAGCTCTCCCAGTCCAGTACCAGTACATTCAGCACACGTCGACTTTGAATTTCCTTCAAAGCTTCCTTGTTTCCAAGCATCCTTGTGCAATCTATTCTATGGCATAGACAAACAGTATCGCTGTTGTAACTGTAATCAGAAGTAATTATTCTTGCAAACCATTAAGAGCAACATTGCCAGGACCATCCTGACAAGTATTGTTGCTATTAATGCCACTTACCTTCACATCCACCAACATTCACAGATTTTAGAGCTGCACTGTTCATTCCATAGAGTTTTTGCCTTCTGTGATCTATTACTTTCAATTGTAGGTCTTTTTCCTGCATTTGCAGTTATACTGCAGTCTAACCATGTGACAGAATTATGCATCAGTTAATTTACTGAGTTCTGATGCACTGCACAGTTTGGTTCCAATATCTAGGCTACCTCATTAAAGACAGAATTG